TAACTCTCCCAAGCCAAGTAACTGTGAAAGTAGGTGTTTCTAAATCCCCGTGGTAGAGTCAGAGAAACTTGAGGGTCAGACCAAGCCAGTCTCTCCCCAGAGGACTGATCTGGGGTCCGCCCAGCACACTGCTCTCCGAGGCCGGGAACGTGCCCGTCCAGCTCTGGGGTCCGCCCGGCACACTGCTCTCCGAGGCCGGGAACGTGCCCGTCCAGCTCTGGGGACTGCCTCCCGGGGCGGGAAGGGTAAAGAGCCAGGTAGCCCTCTGCTGTCAGGAAACCTACGTGGGAAAAGCTGCACTTGGTGGGAGATGAGTTGGCAAGAAAGGTCACAGTGAGGTGTAAATGGTGTCACCCCCATGAGTGTGTGACTGAGCGCGTACTCGCCGATGAGGGAGGGTCTGCCGCTGTCACTCCGAGGTCCCTGGGAAGGCCGAGCTACCCTCTTGCCCGCTGTGTAGGAGCCAGGGGAAGGGGGCTGGCCGTGCATGGCTGAGCGTGGGCCGGGCTGCCCTGTGAGCCGAGGAACACCAGGGCGGGCTTCTAACGAGGTACTTTGTGCTCGGCCCACCCAGCGGGCCACGCTGCTGGGCTCCCTGGACCGTGGCGCCCTCACACTGGCCCCCACCCTCCCTGGCCCCGTGAGGTCAGGGCCGCACTGTTCTCACCTGCAGGAGCTCTGACTCCGTCTGACACAGCGGGGGCACGTGCTCAGTGCTGGGTGAACAAATGCACACAGAGCGGGCACAGGCAGTGGTGAGGAAGAAACCAGCGCAGCCTTAGAAGATTCTCAGAAGCCCATGAGCTTCTTAAGAGAAGGAGATGACTCTTCAAATAAAATGGCTTCTCTCTAGCGCTCTGTACACAAGTCGGAACTTCTCAGGCATAGTGAGCGCAGATAAATCGCGGTGTTCTTCACACCGGTTTCTGAAATGCGCGCAGCATTTACTCTTGAGCCATGCTGATCGGGGTCTCCATCGTGGCTCTGAAAACATGAGTCTGTAATCCCGCTGCTGGGTGCCGGCTAGGTGTCACCGTGGGAGTGATCTGACTTGGTTACATCCTGGCCTTTAGAAGGAGCCCCTGGCAGCACAGACCCTTAAGTGCTTAACTACTAACTGAGAGCTTGGCGGTTCAACCCACCCAGAGGCGCCTCGGAAGAGAGGCCTGGCAGTCTGCTTCCGAAAGGTCACAGTCTCGAAAACCCCACAGAGCAGTTTCACTCCGTCTGCATGAAGGCGCCGTGAGTCAGAATTCACTCAGACGGCTGCTGGCAACAACAGCGGCCTTTGATGTGGGCCTCGGACATAGCAGGTGCCCCCACAAGACTTCCAGCAAGAAAGAAATGTGACTCAGACCTCAGGGAGGAAGAGCCTCTTTGAAGAGGACCATATCCCTGGGAAGGTAGGAGAAAGAAATTCAATTTGTCAGCAAGTGTTAAGCGCCTGGTAAATGGCAGCCGTTGCTGGGTACTCGGGGCCCAAAAGAAATGCCGCTAGGCCTTTGCAGCCTGGAAGTGTCACCAGGAGTACGAGGCAGTCTGCACTTGGTGCCACACGAGCATCACAGGTGGAACACTCGGAGTTGAGGGAAAGAGGGCTCGGTGTGACGGTCAGGGAGGCCCGGGGCGGGGCCGGGCAGCCGGTGTCAGCTACACGTGGGGACGGTGAACGGTCCGGGTTAGCTGGAGAGGGGGGTATATGGAAACAGTGCAAGGTAAGCAGGAACATTGATCGTCACTACAGTGATTATAACAAGACGACAGCCAAGGAGCACCTGCCTGTGCCGGGGCGAGACTCAGCTCAGCGGGACTCCCACCTGGAATCAGTGGGCTGCACCGCTCACGGGTCCTGGCCTCGGAAAAGACATCGTAACTAGACTTCTATGAACATGTTTTCTCTAGCTATGAAGGTAAATACAATGCTCATTAGTTTTTAATTTAAAAAATACGAAGAAGAAAATAAAATCACCCATAGTCTTACCACCATTGTTAAAACATTGTGTGCATTTCCCTCCAGGCTTTTTCAAGTTCTCAGTGCCAGGTATTGGAGCGTTGGTAAGCAAAGCCCAGGCGGACTGGAACGGCGCAGTAAAAAGCCTGCTGTTAAGCAGCATGTTGCTGCTGCTGCTGCTGCTGCTGGGAAGTGCCAGTTGCCGTCGTTCACTTGCGTCTCGTGGCGACCCCATGTGTGCAGAGTAGAGCTGGGTTTTCAAGGCTGTCACCTTTTGGAAGCAGATCGCCAGGCCTGTCTTCCAAGGCACTTCTGTTTGTTGTTGGCAGGTTCCGCCGAGTCAGTTCTGACTCATGGCGACCCCGTGTACAGCAGAGTAAAACACTGCCCGGTCCCGTGCCATCCTCACAATCACTGGTATGGTTGAGCCCTTTGTTGCAGCCACTGTGTCAGTCCATCTCTTTGAGGATCTTCCTTGTTTTTGCTGACCCTCAACTTTACCGTGCATGATACCCTTCTCCGGGGACTGGTCCCTCCTGATAACATGTCCAGAGTATGTGAGATGAAGTCTCACCATCCTTGCTTCTAAGGAGCATTCTGGTTGTACTTCTTTCAGGACAGATTTGTTCAGTCTTCTGGCAGTCCACGGTATATTCAATAATCTTCGCCAACACCATAATTCAAAGGCGTCAGTTCTCGGGTCTTCCTTTTTTGTTGTCCAGCTTTCAGGCGCACATGAGGCACTTGAACACCCTGGCTTGGGTCAGGCACACTTTAGTCCTCAAAATGACGGCTTTGCTTTTTAACACTTTAAAGAGGTCTTTTGTAGCAGATTTGCCAAATGCAGTATGTCATTTGATTTCTTGACTGCTGCTTCCATGGGCATTGATTGTGGATCCAAATAAAATGAAATCCTTGACAACTTTAATCTTTTCTCCATTTATCATGATGTTGCTTATTGGTCCAGTTTTGAGGATTTTTGTTTTCTTTATGTTGAGGTGTAATCCATACTGAAGGCTTTGGTCTTTGATCTTCATCAGTAAGGGCTTCAAGTCCTCTTTCTTCTTCAAGCCACATTCTTCTTCATATAGTCCAGCTTCTCAGATTATTTGCTCAGCATACAGATTGAATAGGTATGGTGAAAGGATACAGCCCTGACACACACTTCTCCTCATTATAAACCACGCAGTACCCCTTATTCTGTACAAGTTCCACATGAGCACGCGTGACACCTCTGGGTGGGTTCAGAGCGCTGACCTTTGGGCTGGTAATTGAGCGCCTAACTGGTTGTGTCACCCAGTGACTCCTGTTGGCAGTGTGGCCAGCCCTAAATGTACAGATTTTCTTTTTTAAATGTGCTGAAATCGGCTCTCTGAAGAATTTACTATTCAGAGAGCAGAGCAGACGCGTCGACTGATTTGGCATACCCCATGCAATGAGTGGCGCGGTATTTAAGAGCTCGGCTGCTAACCAAAAGGTTGGCAGTTCGAATCCCCCACCGCTCCTTGGAAACCCTATGGGGCAGTTCCACTCTGTCCTTACAGGGTCACAGTGAGTCAGACTCCACGGCCGTGGTTTTTCTGTTGTTACGCAGTGAGCAAGGCTGAACAGGTCTTGTCCCAGAGCCATGACGGGGACTCCGGGGACTCTGGGGGCCCGACCCCCTCCTACAGAGAGGTCTGTGGCAGCAGCACATGTGACCTCCGCGCGCAGGTGGGGTCCGCTCACCCTCGGCTCAGGCTGCCTGCCTGTCGGCCCCCTCTGCTGGTCTCCCGCCCTCCGTGGTAGCGCAGACTGCCTTCTCAGCCGCCGTCGTGTCCCGGCCTCCAGGAGGCTTTCCAGCGATCCGGACGCTGTTTCACTGGTCGTTCTTCGCTTCAGAGCAGGGCCTGGGCTGATGGAAGTGTTACGTCGGTGGTCTTTGTCTGAGTGTTGTGAGTAGCAGGCCAGAGCAGAGAGGCTTCTGGGGGCAGTGACGAGTCCAGGGCGGGCGGTGGGAGAGTCTTAGATTTTCATCCCACTTCGTAAGTGAATGCCCACTTGTGTGTGGCCTGGCGTCTTCACGTGCAGTTTATATAAGAGTAGCTGTGTCATGTGATGTACATCTGCTCTACCTCGGTTACTTATCACCTCTGTGAGATGCACCTGCTTACAGATGAGGACACTGGGATTCAGGAAACTGCCCGGGCACTTGCCAATGGCGTACCTGGGGTTTTCCTTCAGGTCTCGACCCCCGGCCCTTTTCTGCCACCCCCTTTGCTGTCCTTGCTCTTCTTCGCCGAGTTTTTCGTTTAGCCCCATGCTTATCACAGGAGGTTGTTTTGTGGACAGGCACTTGGTGTCCCTTAGGGCCCCCGTGCACACGAGTTCCCTGCACAGGTCAGAGGCGGCTACCCCGCCAAGCTCTTCTGGCCGTGAGATGGTCATGTCATGTACTTCATTATAAGTGGAAGGTGAGGGGTAGCATGAGCACAGATTCCTGGAAAAGCAGCCTACCAGCAGGGACTCCTCAGAGGCCTCTCCCCGCGCCTTTCCAGCTGGGCTGCACCTGGTCACCTCGTGGAAACATCTGTACTGATGTCACTCTGCTTGTCCTCCCAGGCGTTTCCACTTACTCCCGTTGTGGTCTCCCACAGACCATGGGAAAGATGCGTTTACATTCAGACTCTCAGGGCCTGGTCTTCTGGAGCAGACACTCTCCAGTTTTCCTGGGCGCAAGAATCACCAAGAGCCTGTGGAAACTGAGTCAGGAGGTCTGGGGTGGTGCCTGAGGATGTGCATTTCTGACAAGTTCCCAGGGATACTGCTGGCTCGGGACCACACCCCACTGTTGTAGGGTTTTTGCCAGAACCCCACATTCCTGCCTTTCCATATCCCCCAGCCCTTTTAAAATGGCCCTCTAGCCCGGTCTGCTTTTACCCTCGAACGTCGTTTGCCAGGGGATGTGATGGCCGCCATCACTGTCATTGGCCTCGGAAGGTAAGCGGCAGTGGCGTCTGGTCCTCCGCGCAGCCGGCGGGGCTCACGCACAGGGTGCCGGCTGTTTCAGGTGGTGAGAGCTGCTGAGGAGGCCGCGTCCACGCTGGCCAGCTCCATCCACCCAGAGCAGTGCATCAAAGTGCTGTGCCCCATCATCCAGACGGCCGACTACCCCATCAACCTGGCGGCCATCAAGATGCAGACCAAAGTTGTTGAGAGGATCGCCAAGGAGTCCCTGCTGCAGCTGCTCCCCGACATCATCCCAGGCCTGCTGCAGGTAGGCCCCCTCGGTCCCGTGGCCCAGCAGCTCTCTGAGTGAGTGGGGTGCCAGCCCACCGACACTGGCTGCATGGCCCAGTCATTCTTCTCGGTCACTTGGGGGAGGGGGCACAGGTAGAAAACCCCAGATGGTGACGTGCATTCTTGGGTCCGTGATACTGTGTGGCATGGAGACCTCATGGCCTTCTCTGTCATCTGGTCCCCCCGCCCCTGAGCGGAGCAGCATTCTCCGGGCAGACTAGAATGTGGCTCACCAGAGAACTTTCTGTTTACTGTGTGAGCATATTTTGATCATCTTTTTGTGCATTCCTTCATCAGACCCTCACTGCACGGGGGGGCCGGGCGGACCTTGGTGTGCAGGGCCGAAGGATGGTCTCACTCTCGCACATCCCACAAGTGTTTATTGAGGCCCTTCTGAGTGTGAGGTGCTGAGTGAAACCCTGCAAGGTAGAACACGCTTTCCAGTGTCATGGGACCACCTCAGGGATTCTCCAGCCTAGCTTGGGACAGAACTCAGCCACGCGGACAGCTGTAGCTCACAGCACCGCGTGTCAGGTGACCGCAGGCAGGTACAAGTGGAGGCTGCAGAGATCAGAGGCGGGAGAGGTGGCTCCCAGGTTAGGGGTAGGGGAGAGAGAAGGGTCATAGAAGGGCCCGCAGGAGGGGTCGTTTAGAGGTGGGCCCTGGAGAGGGAAGGGTGGAGGGAAATTGGATTCACGTGACCAAGTGCTGCTGTTTGCTGAGCATTTGGCTTGGCAATCTAAATCCTAACTCTTGAGAGCCAGATTCTTCCAGGAGAGGGGAGGTCACATGCTGACAGACCATGAGGCTGCTTGGAGAACAGCAGGTAGCCCCGTTTGTTCAGCGGGGGTAGGAGGGAGACTGAGGCTGGACAAGTAGACAGAGGGACACGAGTGTCAGGCTGGCCTCCACATTCTCCATCCGTCATCGGAGGGTAGAGAGGTTGTCCACAAGAGAGCCAGTCAGGCGGTTCTCACTTCTTTTAGGGCATTTTTACACATGAAATTTGTTAACCGCTGGGAGAAATGTGGAAGAGGCAGGTGATCTTTCCTCTTGATTTCTTGTTCTCACCGTGTCTCTCCTGCGACATTTTCGGGGGCCCTGCAGCTGGTTGTGAAGCAGGCGCCTGTGTGGGGACCGTCCCATCTCAGACTCCCCAAGTCCCTGCCTCGGCAGCCCAGGAGCCAGCTGCTCATGACCTCTTTGGGGTGAACGCTCAGGGCATTTGGAACTGTTGATGGAACACTGGCCGTGAAGCAAAGGTCTGATCTCGTTTCCTTTCTGTGTCCCCCCGGCCCCGTAGGGTTACGACAACACCGAGAGCAGTGTACGGAAGGCCAGCGTGTTTTGCTTGGTAGCCATTTATTCTGTAATCGGAGAAGACCTGAAACCTCACCTCGCACAGCTCACGGGGAGCAAGGTACGTCCATCTAGGGTTCCAGGGCCAGCCTACACGCCTGGGCCCTACCTGCCTGGGCCCTGCCCACACACCTGGGCCCACTTGTCACCGCTCGGCTTCAGCTCCGCACGCCACACACGTTTTCTCGCCGTCTGTGGTTTGGCTGGGCCTTGTTTCTCCAAAAGCATTTTATCAGGTAGAAACTACTGACTCTACAGTGAGGTCATTCTGAGGTCACTCTAAGGTGATACCACGTAACCGATTTTAACTCTTGGTTTTGAAATGATGACTTTGAGCTTCTAGTTTATTATCAAAAGAAAAGTGACTTTGTTTAGAAACCAACTCGTCTTCTCTCACAGACACACTGAGGAAATTTACCCGATAGCATAGGAAATTGCTGAATCAGAACTGAGTCCCTGTGGGTATCAGCGGTGTAATAGCTAATCTCACGTCTGTACATGCCTGCCTGTCCCAGTCGCTGTTCTGCGTCCTTTTTGTGTGTTAACTCATTAATGTGTGACAGTGTCCTGCGGGGTAAGGGTTGTACCCCCATTCAACCTGCCCAAGGGAACACAGTCATCTTACTCCCGAAGCCAGGCTTCTTACTGGTATAATGCGTTTCCTGTTCCTTTACTCGAGAACCAGGGGCAGAAAATGGCCTGAAAGTACTGTTGGTTCATTGGAGGTGAGGGTGGCTAAAGTGCTTATTAATTTAAAAATAAAAACCCTCCCATCTGCTGAGCCAGGCCAGAGGGGAGCAGGTGGAAACCCCCCGGCTGTGGCAGGACAGGCAAGGCTGGGTGGTGTGGGCGTGCCTCCTTGGGAGGGGGGTAGGCTGTGTTGCTTGTAGGGCCTTGGAGACCTCCGCCCACGCCAGGATGGCCTGAGGGTAAAGTGCAGCCAGTAGGTTTAAAGTCCCCCAGCAGAGATGGGGGTGAGCCGCTCTGTGGATGGATGTTAAGTGAGTGGGAAGCGTGAGGCTAGAAACGCTCATCCTTGCTCCCCGTGCAGGAAGAAACCCGAGTGACGTCCCTTTCTTCTCCATCAGAGCTGCTCCTTTGGGCCAGCTGCGAGTGTCACAGCCAGGGCGCTGCGTCCCCAGACTTCTCGGCACAGACCACCTTGTCGCCTTTGTCCCGAGCAGGGCCTTGCAGCGCTGGCACTGTCCAGACTTAGGGCTGGATGAGTCTTTGTGGTGGGGGCTGTCCTGGGCGTTGAGGGTGTTTAGTAGCATCCCTGACTGCTACCCCCTAGGTGCCAGGAGCATATGTCGCCAGGAGGTCAGAGTCACCCCCAGTTGAGAACCAGGGGTCCAGAAGGAGACACTTCACTGTCCTTGCAGATGGGAGAAAGCAGGGAGGTTGGAAGTTGCAAATGGATCAGGTGTGGACACTTGATTTAGGGGCCACCTTACTGGATTCTGGAGCCCTGGTGGCACAGTGGTTAAGAGCTCAGCTGCTGACCAACGGGTGGGCAGTGTGAATCCACTAGCTGCTCCTTGGAAACCCTGTGGGGCAGTTCTGCTCTGTCCCGTAGGGTCGCTACGAGTCGGAATCAACTCAACAGCAACAAGTTTGGGTTTTTTTACGTTTTACTGGATTCTGTTCTCTGGCTTCTCCTTCGCTCCCTACTGCCTAGGCTCCTCATCAGAGCCTTCCCCAGCCCCTGGCTGAGAAAACACCGAGTCGAGACTCCCCCAGCCCCAGGCTGAGAAAATGCCAAGTTGAGACTCCCCCAGCCCCGGTCTGAGAAAACGCCGAGTGGAGACCCCCCGGCCCCGGGCTGAGAGAAAGCCGAGTGGAGACCCCCCGGCCCCGGGCTGAGAAAACGCCGAGTCGAGACCCCCCGGCCCCGGGCTGAGAAAACGCTGAGTGAAGACCCCCCGGCCCCGCACTGAGAAACGCCGAGTGGAGACCCCCCCGGCCCTGCACTGAGAAACGCCGAGTCGAGACCCCCCGGCCCCGGGCTGAGAAAACGCCGAGTCGAGACCCCCCGGCCCCGGGCTGAGAAAACGCTGAGTGAAGACCCCCCGGCCCCGCACTGAGAAACGCCGAGTGGAGACCCCCCCGGCCCTGCACTGAGAAACGCCGAGTCGAGACCCCCCGGCCCCGGGCTGAGAAAACGCCGAGTCGAGACCCCCCGGCCCCGCGCTGAGAAAACGCTGAGTGGAGATCCCCAGCTGCGTGCTGGCCCGGGAGCCTTCCTCCCGGTCCTGGCCCAGGGCTTTGTGTGTCGGCCCTGGGAACAACGAGGAACTAGGAGAGGGTGATCACAGTGGGACCTGGGTTTGTAAAAGATCCATCAGAAAAAACCTTACTCAGACTTGACTTTTTTGGCACTTTTACTTCCTGAGTACGAGAGTTGTCCCGTCCTCTCATTTGACCTGTGTAGCAAGGGACTTAGGAGACACAGGTGTGTTCTCGTCTCCACTCAGCGGGGACCTGATGCTGCACCCTCGGTAATGGTGTTGGTCTAGAACCCCCGTTTCCTGATCAGGAGCCAGGGCCTGTATGTCTCCAGCTGGAACTTTGGTCAAGTCGGAGGTTGTAGGGGGGCCGGCCTTGACACCTTTCTGCCTGGGTTCATTCAGCGATTACCTTTTTCAGATGCAGTAGATCTGGTGTGTTAGTGTGAATTTTGTGGGCTCGTGTACATATCTCCTGAACAAACTAGCAAAAAGCGTAGCTGAGAGAACATGGCGCTCGATCTATCTCAGCTGCCCCTAGACAAGAAGCAGAGAGAATCAGCCACCATGGCGTCCCACATCCCCAGGTAACCAGGCTGTCGGAACATTCTCTCCCACTACTTAAACGAGGCCATAGAGAAAGGCCTGACGGAAGGAAAGGGCAGACACATGTGTGGCCCGGCGCCATGCCAACAGCACTAGCTTTGGGGTCAGGCACCTTGCCTTCTGGTGTCAACCCCGCTCACCAGCTGTCTGACCACGAGCTGTCTTTCTGAACCTCAGCTTTTTCATTTGTAAAATAGGAGACCCCAAGCCCTTTCTCCTTGGGGACACCGAGGGCTGGGTCGTGGGACGCTGGAACAGGAAGAATGGGAGAGATTTCTTGGAAGAAGTAGGATTGAGCTCAGCTTTGAAGGATGAGGGTGATCTGCAGGAGAGAAGAAGCAAGACCACAGGAAGGAACAGTGTGAGCAGCTTGGATCAGCATAGAATAGGAGAGGTGTGCTCAGAGGACGTGTTGTCTGGACAAGTGATGACAGACGGCACATTGGAGGAGTTCTCGTTCTTCATCTTCCAGGTGGGAAAGCTGAGGCTTAGAAGATGATGTGCACAGGGCTCTCGAGTGGCTGTACACGCTTCCTGGGGTGTTCATCTCTCTCTGCAGCTGGATTTCATCCTGCTTCAGGGCAGTATGAAGTTTGTGCTTCGTCCCTTAGCATGGTACAGTGGAGACTGCAGATGTTTAACATTTGTTAGGTAAAAGAATTTCTGAAAAGGAAAACAGTCTTAGCTCCCTGGTGCTGCTGTAGCAGAAGTGCCACAAGTGGGCGGCTATAAGGAGCAGAGTTGATTTTCTCCCAGCTTAGGAGGCCACAGGTCCCTGTGAGGGCACGGCTCGAGGGGGTGGGCCTTCCTTGTAGCCCCATAAGTTCCATCTGTCTCCCTCCTGTCTCTGTGTCTGCCCTGTTTCTATAACTCAGAAGTAATTGGGTTTAGGACCCACCGCTCTGGGACCTCGTTAATGTAATAAAAGAAAACCCCTATTTCTGAACGGGATTGTATTGACAGGTACAGGGGTTAGGATTTCAGCACATATTTCGGGGGACACAATCCAGTCCATAACAGCTACACAGCTAGCTAATGGCGGGGTGGGTTCTAGGACTGCAGGGTGTGGAGTTTCTGTGGGGCCTGGTCAGCCCTGAACGGAGCACCCTGAGCCTGAAGAAGACATAAACGCCTTGTGTAAAATGATTGTGCTTCTTATCTCAGCACTGATTGCCGTGTTAACAGTTTTTAAGATGAAAAAAAGTGGGGACTGGAAACAGACCCTGGTGTTTAGTGCCAACCAGCACGAGATACCCCGCTCAGCTGGAAGGAAGCGGCAGCGACGGGGAACGTCCTGCAGCCAACAGAGTAACAGCAGCGGGCCAGGGGGCTGTTAGTTCCACGCTGTCCGTCCGTGTGGAAGAGCACAGCACAGGACAGCTGTCCACTCCCGTCTCTGCATCTGGATACCGGCACACACAAAGTTCTGGAGGGCTTCGCCCCAGTAGAGAGCATTTGGGATCAGGGGACTTTGCTACAAGTTCTATGTGGTCAGTACTCCCGCCCCACTGACTGATGGGGGCCCTATTCTCAGGTACCGCAGCCATTACCAGGAGCACATCCTCATGGGCCCCAGGAGAAGAGCCTTCCCTCCCTGGCTGGCAGGGGATTGTCTGAGCCCCAAATCCTGCTTGGAGCAAGGCAGATAAAGGGCTGTGGATAGGAAATGTTCCTTAATTCTCTTGAGCTTGGAAATTGTGTTATACAGATTCTTATGCCACTCTTCCTCTGCTCTTTTTATTTTTAATATGATCAGGCACATTGCCAGCATAGCATATTAATTTAATGGTGTTCAACGAATGTTTGCTAAGTACTTCTGTGTTCTGTAGTGGTAAACAGATTTTTTTTTTTTTTTTTTTGGTGTGTGTAAACTTTTTCATGGGTTTTTACAATAGAGGTCTCATACAATATTTGTCCTTTTGTGATTGACTTATTTCACTCAGCATAATGTCCTCCAGGTTCATCCATGTTATGAGATGCTTCACAGATTCATTGTTGTTCTTTCTCGTTGCATAGTACTCCATTGTGTGTATGTACCATAGTTTGTTTATCCA